GAAAGTCTTGTCCGCTTGTTGCCACTGTTAGAACCAAATTGAAAATTCAGGGGAAAAAATCAATTGACAGCGATTACTTTTAATAACAAGCAAGTAGCAGTGTTCACCTGCCAAAGAGGCCTGGGAATAGGGGAGCATATGAATCTGGCCAGCATTTTTGCGCGGCGCTGAGCAGGTGCCCAGAGAAACAGCTCCAGCACAGCTGTGTCCTATCAAATCCTGAGCCCCCCCCAGGACTGCTGCAACCTCCCTGAGCCCAGGTGCTAGCCTGCCTTCATCCTGGAGCTGAGCAAAGAGCATGAAGGGCCCTGTGGGGGCAGAGCTCTGCAAGGCTGGCTCGAGGGCACAGTAGCCCTGGTCCACCAGAGCCTGTCCCATAGCAGGTGTGGGCCCTGCTGGATCAGCCAGGGGTAAGGAAGCCCGCTGGAGCCAGCGTGGTGAGCGCAGCTGAGCCTGCCCGGGCACCGAGCCTGGGAAGGGCTGAGTGCCTGGCTGGGGCTGTGGGGAGGTAGTGCTGGGTGGTGTGCTGCAGGCAGGGAAGAGGAACAGGGCTTCACTGCTAGGATATAATGAGAGGTTCTGAAGTAAATATGAAGCCCTAAGGTGCTGTTTCACTTTGGTGACTGTGTGAGTTGCCTGCTGATACTTTATCTAACAGATGCTGCAGTGCCCACCTCTGAGCTGGGGGTTTGAATGTTTGCTGCCCAAGCTGCTCAGAGAGTGAATGTCAGAGGTCCACGCGAGTGGTAGATGCCTCGATTTGCTCAGGCAGGCATCTGTGGCAAAGGGAAGAGCACTTTCTGCTGTGTATAGAGCAGGGATGAAGCCGCCTTGTGTGCCTGACCAGTTGTAAGTGAGAAAACCAAGTACAGATTTTGCATGTTTGTGCCTGGTCTTTGGTGATGTTGGGATTGTTGGAAAAGAGAGTGGGGACTGTGGGCTGCTGGGTCCCAGGCAGGCTGGGTCAGAGCGTGCTGCACGCTGTGATAAGCATTGCAGATGTGCCCGTGCAGAGCACCAAAGCCCAGGAGCTGCTGTGGGGGAGTGAGTCCACTTCTCAAGGCAGCTGGGCTGTCCCTGTGCCATGCCCTGCTGCCGGCTGCAGCTGGTCCCTTGTCTGAGGGAGGGGACATCGAGGTCTTGAGCGATAGTAAGAAGTATTGAGCCTGTTATCGGGGTATTTGGGTGCCCCTGCAACTACTTGCTGCTTAGATCTTCTCCAGCTTTCTGGATCAATCAGGATTAAAAGTTTGCAGAAGCTTCTCTGGAGTTCTAGACACTCCTCCAGGAGAGCAGAAGGCCAGGGGTTTTGTTAGTGCCAACGGGTCCTGGTCAAAAACACACTGTGTCCAGTCGCTTATTAGCGAAAGCAGATTCAGCTGAGAACTGGGTGAGCGATGGCTCCCTCCTTACCATGCTGAATGGCCAACAGCCAGAAACGGCTGGGAATCCTGCCACCTCCCCATCTGTTTACCAGCCGGTTTGAAGAAATGGAGTTTGCATATTCAGAGCATTAATCTAAAATTACTTCCAGGTCTTGAATAGTCAGTGATGCTAACTTCTCTGTCTCTTTCTCTAGAATTAAGCCATTTAAGAAAAATAGTTGTAAAAACTTCACTCAGCTTCCCCTTTGTCTTGTCTTTTCCATCCGTCCCTCTGCTATGGGCTGTGAGTTTGTCTGGAAGCTGCTGCATGCTATGAGGGATGGTGAGAATCTGCCACTGGGCTCTAAAAGTAGCAATCCTAGACTTTGAGGCCAGGCTGGCAGCCTGAGACGATTCGGACCAGAGAAAGATGCAGAACAAGCATAGTCTTGGGTGTGTTGTGGGGTGGTGGGTGGGTTTGCTTACTCCCCGGATAAGTGTGGGGGCAGTCAAAAGTATTCTAATGAATTTTGCAAATTATTTAATCAATAAACAAAATGGAAGATATGTTTCAAAAAAAATCCTCGAAGGGTTTGTTATGATCCTTAAGAAGATACAGGTTCTTTTCTTTAGAAATTCTTTTTCATTTAAAAAAGCAGGTATATATTTAAAGAGATAAGCCTGTAAATGAAATGAAGCATCTATTTAGGAAAAACTGAATTACTTCAGGAGCCTTTTCATTTTCATATCACTTTCATTTTGGGATAACTAGAAGGCTAGCTTTTCTGATTGTATTATTTTGTTTTGGCCAGCAAACTGTGAGTTCAATTACTTGTTCAGCTCAGGTTTGGCATCTGGCTTCAGATGTGCTTTTGCATATAGGATCTGTCGGGTTTTTTGTACCTTTCAGAGCTCCCTCATGGAATACGCAGAGCCCTGAGAAAGAAGGGACTTGGTGAGAGTCTGGATTTGCAGGCTTAGCTGTAAGAGCAGGCCTGCATATAACCAGCGTTGCAACCTTGACATGACCATTGTATGAGAAGACCGAGATTTTAGAGGCTAACGTAGCATTCCCTTGTATTTGCGTACTTTTATGTCTGAACTAATGATTTGCAAGAAGAGCAAGCGTGTGTTGCACACCATATTAGGAGGCACCCGCAGCTCCAGCTCTGATGGTGTTGTCTACTAATATGTTTTTCTAAAGGACAGACATGAAAGATATTCTGAATCAACATGACTACAGCTCTGTTAGGTTACACTTAACCAGTAGGTCACTTCACATCACTGTGCTCACAAGACCAAAAATAATGTATTCAGCGTAAGCTGCGCTTCAGGAAGGCAGTGTGTGTGTGAGGGCTGCGAAACGTTCTGTGCCATCCAAAAGTGCGAGAGACAATGGCACCAGCTCCCTGCTTCCTCAGGAGGGATTTTCATGGGATTTCTGAACGTGTTCTTATTCAGATGGTAGTTAAAATAACTGTAAAGTGCCTAAGATAGCAAGGCTGTAAGACTCTCTCATGTGTCCCTGATTCCTCTGTGGGAGGATGTTTACTGTGTAGCCAGTATTATGGATCCTTAGTATGCAATTAGTGCTTCTTTAATGAGCATTTGCAGGCTCAATACACTCTGCAGTGGCATTAAGGGCTTTCTGATGCCTCCTGGTGAAACCCACGTATACTTGCTCTTCCTTGTCCATATATCTTTTAACTGTGAAGTGACTGTCGTGACAAGACCTTGTCTGCTCTGAGTGCTCTGAATTGTCTCTGATCGTTGCCTAACCTGAGCCAAAATCCTCTTTTTGTGATATCACAGCCGGGTGCAGTAGAATAATATAATGTCATAAACAGGATTTCAGGCCTCAGATTGGGAAGAACCAAGGAGTGTGGTGGCAGGCTGTGAAGGGACACTTTTCATGCCACAATGCTAATCACAATGCAAGGCAACGTTCATCCTTCTGCAGATGAGTAGCCAGAAGACCAATGCACCACATCAAGCAGGCTTTAATGTGCAAGGTAGTGTTAACTTACTTTAACAGTAAGTTACTCCTGTGCAATAGTACAAGCATCACTTACATGAACAGAGTGGATGCCTGTGCATTTGTGTGTGTGTATATTTAGGAGATGGGGAACTACTTGCTCTAGGATATGCCTGAACTGGAGAGATCCTGTGTCCAGACTGAATCTGATCAGAGTTGTTGAGCCTTTGAAAATTTTCCGATACATATCTTGTATTCCTAAATAAGGGAATCTCAAAGCAAAAGGCTTCTTCAAGCTATAACTAAAGTTCGCCAGACATTCACTTCCAACTCTGCAGAATACTGCCGTCAAAAATAATACTGTGCTCTCTCCTCCTTCTACCCCATTCCTCATGCAGGTTTGCTGACTTTGGAAGGCTATAGTGAAATAGAATTCAAAAGGTACAGAAAAGCGTGGTTAAAGTCAACCTAGGGTGCTCTGTCACCCGGTTGGCTGTGCATGTAAGCTTCCTTTACACCCTGCATTATTGAAAGCACTTTTCCTGAGAACTTTTGTCTACTCAGTCCCCTTGACACGTGTGGTGGTGGCCGTGACAAGCTCACCAGTGCTACCTAAGATGAATCAAACAGGAGCTCGGGATCTGCAGTGCTCCTGCATAGATAGCTTTTTGCATAATGGAAGGAATGCCTTCAACTCAGCAGATGCCGAGTGTAGCCAGACGTGGAGTGCATTTAGTTGGCTAAGACAGTTAGCTGTTTCTTCACATGGTATTAAAATTCGTGTGAGGAACTGGGGCATTTAGCTCTGACTTACAAACGTTGTTACTCTGGAATAATTGGACACTTGCAGCCCAGAAGAGGATTTGTTAATCCTTTGTGTTTGTGTACACAAACTCTTGGAGAGCACGTCTCAGCGCTGTGACAGCATACACGCAGCACCATAGAAATTCCTCACCTGAGGAGGGCACCAATGGGAGGGAAAGGCTGGCCAGGTGTATTGGGGATCTGCAGGAGTGCCATCAAAGCTGGCAGGTTCTGCTAATCAGGGATGAGCAAAGAGTCAGCCCCACTGGCACCAGTGAAACAGCTTCTACCCCTTGGTGCTCGTGGCTGAAGGAGCAGACAGGCTCCAACATCCCTGGTGCAGCATCCTGGCTTTGTGCTTAGTGTCCTGGCTTAAGCCCTCTTCTGCAACAAGACACACAAGCTAGTGGGCAACCGTGAACGAAATTTTGGTACTATAACAAGTTAAAAACCTTCCCGTTGCTTCCCAGCTCTCTCCTTACAACTCAGCCGAGAATCCCCCCAGTGAAATCCCTGCACCCAGTTGAGTGAAGATTAAAAGTTCCTCAGACTGCCTGCCTGGGAGCTGGCACATTTATGCTTTTCAATTAAGGTAGTAAAACCTGGGCTCTGTGGAAGTGTGCTCAGCCCCTTGGCTGAGCTGGCTGCAGGCTGGGCTGGCTCTCCCCAGATCAGGAAATTAACTACATAACGTTATTCCATGCATAGCAATAAATTAGAATTGATTGTTGTTGTTGCATATTTTTACACGTCACCTATTTAATATCTCTCTGAAAATATAAATAAAACATACGTAACCATTAGAAATCCTTAGAATTGGGAAGCGCCTGAGAATTTATTTGTCTTCAGGAGGATCATACATATTGTATTAAAACTATATAAAGGGTTTAATAAAATGGCAAAAATAAAGCAAGAGCGAAGGCTCTCAATCTGCACTGAGAGGAGGGAAGTGATCTTTCTTTGATGCCTATTAAATGTTCCAGCAGATGAAACCCTATATTCTGCCAGGAAATGAGTTTGCCACAAGCCGATTGGGTGCTGTCGTGTGTGCTCGACTTTACCACTGTCATTCCTCTTCTTTGAGCAGCAATACATTACGCCGCCTCCATTTTTCATTCCTCACTGCCCGAAATGCAAATTTTCTCTCTGTTGTTTATATTAGGTTTTCAAATATATGGAAATCCAGATATCTGGAGGAAAATGTCAGGGCCAGAAATACTCGTGATCTGTCTTTTCCCCAGCCTGACACACTTCTCCATCACTTACATGAAAGCATGTGAGGAGTATTAACAGCAGGACAGGAGATGGTATAGGTGTGCAGCCAGGAGCTGCAGGTCTCTGGGATATTTAGCAGAAATAGGTCTGGAATGGAGTGGTTTGCTGTTTGCAGGAGTTCAATGTTTGCACAGATTTTTTTCACCTCTGTAAAACTAGAAACATATGGCCTGTAGAAGAAAAGAGCCATATTGTGAAGGGAAGGTGCATGAATGAAGGGTAGCTGGGTGACAGCTGTAATAGGAGTCATGGGAGAGTGATGGAGTCTACCCCATCTCTTCGAAAGCTCTCCGCTGGAGAAGCTGGGAAGGGTTTGTGCCCAGGGAGCAAATCGCAGGCCACCGAGGAGAGTGATGGGGAGGTGTCAGCCAGCTACGCAGCGTCCTTCCTGACTAGGAGGTCTGAGCCTGAGCGCCAAGCAAAGAACTGTCATGCTGCCTGTGTTTCAAGGAATTGCTAGAGCTGAAGAAGATGTTGTTAGGGGTAGCAGTCACTGCAAAAGGCTGGTGAGAGACACTGTCCCCCTGAGCCTGCTGCTCTGTGACTGTATTTGCTGGGCAGAATGGATGGCTCTTTGCTGACAATCTGCTGCCTAACAGTTGGCTTTTGCCTGTCGTGGCACCAGGCGAGAGGATAGGCATTGAACTCGCACGTTGATGTTCCTGTTCTTAGGCTGGAGAGCCAGAAATCTCAGCAAGTTATCAGAAAGTAACAAATAATGCGCTTTCAGGAGGAGTTTGTGGCTAAATTAGGCCAAACTTTTGGAATCCCCCTAATTTTTCTCAAGTAAAAAGCAGATATACAGATACTTCAGAATAAGGACAGACATGACCTCACAGAGCAGAGCAAACAGCAGTCAGTGCTTTTTAGCTTGGAGGTGTTTATGAATATTTCATCTCTCTCCTATTGATCTACCGTACTGTGTGGCCTCCCAGCTGGGCACCCATGACATGCTATGGCTTTCCCATTACAGCCTGGCCCACTAAGCTATTGCACTGGGTTAGACTAAGAAGACCCAGATTTGCTGTGCTTTTCAGTGCAGTAGTGAGTTGCAGTTTCTTGGAGGCCTCCTGGTTCCAAAATCCAGATGCTCAGCGTGGCTGATCTGTGGTTTGGCTCTTCCTAGTGGTACTGCTCTTTTCAAGCGTGTGCCCAGTGTTGTCATGACTACAGGTGCTACAATGCTCTTGCATATCACCGAGCTCAGCTGCTGATCTCATGCTGGAGCAGCCATGAGGGTTGACATGGATTGCAGGTTAGATGAGAGCAGACCATGTCATTAGGCACCCTTCCATCCTCACTGAGCTGGAGAAGTGGAGGTGCAAGAGGAAGAGACGAGGTACTATGGATGCATGGACTGTGAATGACATACCAATAATGAATGTGAATTACATCCATTGCTTCTCCATGAATGAGGGAATTATTTTAGGCTCTGGCAGCTAGAGGGAATGAAGGCGAAAACTGTTGTTTTGCTTCCTTCTTGAAGACTTAAGAACTAAACTAACCCCAGACAAATTATGTATTCTGAATATTGCAATCAAGTATAGACTGTGAAACTTGTAGGACATATTTGAGCACAGTATCTGCTTTCATGATCAGTCAAGCGCTACCACTTGAACACAGGTGCAAAAGAAAGTCGTAAAAGGTTGCAAACACAGTTACACTGAAATCTGTGTTTGAATGAAATTCATATACACAGAAATGTTTTCATATGTTTGCTTAGCTCTGCACAAACACTCCTTCAAGCGCTTACGCATGCAACAGCAAAGAGGTTATAGAAGTTACATACACACGAAAGACCACAGTCTTTTTAACTAGGCATTTTAGTACCCAGCACAACATAATATTTCTAAAATCAGAAGAAGCATTCCAGGATTGAAAAACAAACAAGCAAGCAAGCGAAATCAAACTTTTTGCGGAATATCATTATCTGTCCCATTCCACATGCACACAAGAAAAGATAGCGTAGATCCTGCGTCCAGAGGGTATCTAAGAGATTTGTACTCAACCATCCCTGTTTGCAGCTCGCCATGTCTGCAGGATGAGTCTTCTTTTAACAGACCCACCTTTTCAAAATTAAATTTGCATCCTTATAGCAGATATAGTCCTTTTCGATGTCACTCAACGAAAGCCTCAAGCATATGCTTAACTTTAAGCTCCTGCTGAGCTGAAATCTCTAGGTGCTTCACTTCATCAGAGCTAAACTTGTGCACAGCCACTGGCAGACTGGAAACCAGTAAGTTTATTTCTCTGTAATATTGTAATGAGTTTATCATCTCTGTAGTCTACTGGTGATGGCATCCCTGCCTATTTCTTCACACAGAAAGTTAGAAAAGGCTGTTTGTGAGCTGGGGAGAACTGGCCCTGGCTGTGTGTGTTTAAGTGCGTAGCACTGGAGATCTGGACACAAATAGGAGCTTTGCATCAGTGCTGAGTCTCCTTGTGTGCCTGGTCCAAGTTTCCATGCCCTCTGCACCATGCCATAATACTTTGTGTCTGAAGATGTTAGACAGACATCAGAGTCAATGCAGCGATCGGCTTACATACCTGGGCCAGCAGAAGACACCATTTATGAAAACAACTTGTAGCTGTCTAATGTGCTTCTGAAATCTTACTTAAAGAAGGTGGTCACGTGACTCAGGAACCCATCATTACTATGCCCAGATTTTCCTTCCCAGAGAGGGGCAGTTAGGAAGTGCATCTGGCAAAGGAAAATGAGATCCAGGGAAATATTTGGGGAGTATGGCTTGCATTCTCCACAACCTCTGTTGAAGATGGATTTTTTTTCCCACAGAGTAGTGTTAATATTCTTTGCACTTGCAGAAATAGAACCAAGGTAATTTCAGACTTCTATTCAGCTCTTCTTTCTAACACTGTACTTTTTGGCAGACTTCTTGTTCCAAACCAGTGGACCTTGTTACACGTCAGAATGCATAATCCAAATCTTCCTTCATTGAAGAGGCAAGCGTTGGGATAATGCACTGCATACCTTTACTTCTTTAATTACCAGCTCTAACTAAGTTGTTTGGAAGTACAAGGAGTTTTCTGTAAGCTCTTGTTTTCCTCTTTCCTCTGTATGCTCCTGTTTCTCCCACAGACTCAAAAATGTCCGAATGCTTTGCCCCCTCCCTAGTACCACAGCAATAACAGAGAAGCCTCAAAGGGTGTATTCAAAGGAAGAACCATTTTCTGGAGCCTGAGAATTACAGTTGGAAGAGCGCTGAGACCAAGTCTGGTTTGCTTCCCAGAAGTATCTGAAGAACCTCTTCCTGTGACATGTCATCACATGTAAAGTTGGCTTAGAGAAGGCACAGTCTTTTTGAACAACACAGAATTGGTCCAAGACCACAAGACACTGACGCTGAAAACAAGCAGGAGTCAGGGACTAGAGAGAGTTTCTAGCTCCTGCATCTACAGTCCTAGTCCTTTTCTGTAAAGGTAGATCAGGCAAGCTGAGCAGCTTTCCTGTTACTTGAGTCTAAATATGTTAGAATGTAGAAACAGCTATCCCAGGTCTTTCCATCTCCAGGTCTTTACTTCTGTGCTTTTGGCTTACTTGTCTTGTTTCCTTTGGCAATAAGTTCATGTTTTAATGATCACGTTTTAAAAAAAAAAAAGAAAAGAAAATCCCGATGGACATGTTGAGATCCTGAGTTGGAAAGCACCATGCAAGCACAAGGCACTAATACATCACATTTTAACACAAGAAGCTATTATACGCTGTCACCAGGAACAGAGAGAGAACTATCCACAAGGTAGCTCCTAGCATATCCAGTTTTAGGTTGATAGCAATTTAGGATAGTTTTATTTCACCAAAATGAATTAGTATAGGAAAATAATTTGCAGATTAAGACAATTCTTTCAGCAACACATGTCTCGGAATGAGGCAAGCAGCCAGTGCTGAGAGTTAAATTATTTGCAGCTTCACTCAGCTCTTGGGCAAGGTCTATTTTGGAATAAGCTATAATGAGACACATTGACTTCATATTGGGACACCTGGAGGAGAAAACCTGAGCCACAACCTAACTACTGTGTTTGACCCATGTATAGTCCAAATATTAAATATAATTCAGATTCCTTCATGTAGGTAAATTTAAGTATCTTAACTCACCAGAAACTGGACTGTTCCCTTAGATACCTTGCACAAGCTCCAGAAATCTGAGGAAGGGCTTCAAGTTTTTCCTTCAATTCGTTGCAGCTGCAGGTGATGCATCAGAATGAAGGCTTTCTGCTGATAATCTTTACAAATAGGCCATCCATCATTAGTGAAGGTCAAGTCACAGATGATTTCCATCATTTTACAATCATTCTTCCCCCCCCCCCCCCCCCCGCCCTGGGTCTTCAAAAGAAGGTGGGGGCCCTCTTTTGTGTATATGTTTTCCAGCTGACTAGAGCATGTTCAGTGTACTTGCTAGAGCGAACAGTGGTGGAGCGCTAGGTATTGCATTTGGGTCTCTATCTCTTTAGAGGCTGATGAAAACAAATCCTGATGGTGTGTGGGCAGCTCTGCATACTGTGCCTGAATGCCCTGGTTCTGCAGAGACCCTTTGAAGCAGGGAGCGAGAAAATCTGCTCAGGGTCTTGAAAGAAAGAGGCTGCAGGAAACCTGTGGTGAAAGAAGGTTGCCTATCTTCTTAAAAAGTCCTTTCCACATGCAACTTCTCCTAAATGATAATGGTACCCATCTAGCTCCCCACCAATGTGTTTAGCTTCAGCTTACACTGCCTGAGTTATTCTTGTTTGCTTGGTCCAGAAATGCATTTGGAGGGCAAAGATGGAGATGATGGTTGCAATCAACTTCTCCAGGATACTGCTTAGTCACATATGTCTTGGAATACATTAGTTTCCTTTTGTCTACTAGCAAGACCTGAAAATTGGGGCCAAATGGATCATCAAACTACCAAAGTTGGAAAAACAGGAGAACAAGGAAAGCAGCTATTGAAGCAAGAATTTAGAGTGGGTGGAGGAGATGTAGGGAGAACAAGAAAAAAGTTCAGGGTGTATCTTTGTGTTTGACTTGCTTAAGTCCTGTTTTATGGGAATGGGTTTCTACCAGAGCTGATCTGGGGGGCCTAGCTTTGGAAAGGAAGGAGCAGCTTCCAGGGTCTGTGATTCCACACGACAGGCTGCTGCCTGGTCACGTCTCATCATGTGTTGTGCACATTCTGGCTGGTGGGCTGGGAATAAGCCCCCTCCTCAGTGTGGCAGTTGTACTCCTTTTTTCTGTCATAGGCCAAACTAGAAAAGAAGAGCTCCTACCCGGGTTCTGTCATCTCAGAGAAGCTCTGTGTCTAGCGCGCATACAGGCGATTAAATGTGTCATGTGTGCATCATTTAAATTAATGTTGCTAAAACAACAATGCTATTTTTAATATTTAAAGAGCCTCTTTGAAGAATAGGAGAATCTGTCACCTTTCCTAGTGGATTTGAATCTTGTGTTCTGAGAGTTTTTCTTCTCTGATTAAAGGAGTTGGCTGTGCTAAGAACAGCTACCCATGATGTGTTGGGGGTGGGGGGCTGAGATGCATTCCAGGGAGCAGCTCCCATCTGCAGGGTTTGAGGGCTCAGCCAGGCTGATTTTCTAGGCAAGGGCTGGCTTCTGTGGATTCCTGCCCAGAGTGTCACCTTGGTGCCATGAACCCAGTGCAGCTGCCCAAACAGTGCTTCCTCAACGTTGGCCCCTTGCTGTCTCTGCGTGGATGCTGACAGCCACATTGGTGTGGCTGAGCCCTGCGGTGTCTGAGGGTCTGTGACACTATAGTAATGATGCTCTTTGGCTTACAGTTTGTTGGGGAGTAGTTTCAACCACCACTTCTCTCTCCACTCACTTCCCCACCATCTGACTCTGAGAAGAGGATCTCCTCTGAGGACTGTGTCTCCCGCTGTGGTCCATGCTGAACCTTTCAGGTCCCTTATGATGCAGGATGGGCTAGATCCTCCCTCAGGCCCGGGCTCCTGGCTCCACAGCACACTGTGTTCTCTGGCCAGGGAGGCTCTGAAAGGGCCATCTTCCCTGGGGTACCCTTGCGTGACTTCGGGTGTCTGTGGTGGGTTGGATTTGCTCCACAGGGAGCAAAATGCGTTTTCCCAGGTTCTTCCGTTTAGCGTGCAGTCTCACGTTGGCAAACCAAGGCAGAAACCTCCAAGGAGTCCATGAGAGGGATGGGGAGGGAAGCTAAGGAGAAGCCACATCTCCCTCTCTGCTGGAAAGAGAATGCACTCATCAGGAAGGTGCCCTCTGGCCCTGAGGACAGAAGCGCTCAGGCCAGCTCACCACAGTGAGCTGAGCTGGGCTTGGCTTTGATCTCTCGCTGTTTGTTTCTCCCTCCCCTTGTTGTTTGACCCGTCCCTCACCCAGCAGTTTTCTGCTTTTGCTTTCCAAAGTCTCTTCTGGGCATTCAGATGCGACAGGATGCCCACCCGAGGCTAACCCTGACTCAAAATCAGTTGCTCCTCTCTGTAATTAGCTTTTGTCTTGCATAGGCCACATGCCCCATCTGAGAGAGGTGCAGTCAGTGCCAAGGGTGGGTGAGTTCCTTCGTGTACCTTGCAGGCTGTACACTTGTTTATATTGCAGTCTGAGATTTGCCTTTCCCTGAACCGCATTCGGCTTGTGACCCGTCGAATCCAGATCCCCTTCTCAGCAGTGCCGCTGCCTACCCGGCCGTTCCCAGCCTGTGTTTGTGCAGCTGGCTGTTCCTGCTTGGCAGATTTCATCTTGATTTTTTTTTTCAGACCAGGCCTCCAATTTGTCAACATGGTTTTGAGTTCTAATCTCCTCCCAGTGGTCTCATATTCCTGGACAGCCATAAGTCTTCTGCAAATTTAGCTTGCATTCTCCCTTTCCCCCAAAATAGGGTTAGTAGAAACATAGAACAGCATCTGACCCACCTCCCTGCTGCAGACGTCCGAGCGAGGGGTCTCGTGCTCTGTTGACTATCAACATTTGATACAAGGAACTTCTAAGGTGACTGATCCTGTGTTTAGCTGGCTTTCCACCTCCCCTGGATTTTCACCCAGATGGTGTTAACTCTGATGGAGGAGTGCTCCGTGGTGATCAGAGGCCAGGATCCGGTCCACGACCTCTCAAACACTGGCTCTCGGTGCCTGTTCCTCCTTGTTAAAAATGTGTCTTCCTGAACAGAGTGCCTGGAAGCCTGAAGGAGAAGGGCTTGTTGTCAGGGACTCTGGAGCATGGAGGAGATATTAATGTTTTTGGAGGGAAAAGTCTATTAGGATTCTGTAGCTTTGAAAAATACATAAGTCTGGAATAAGACTAATGAGACATTTACTGGTGCGGTTGGGTTGCATTAATGACCCTTCAGAGGATACAATTGCAAAAGGCTTTCACTGTAATTACCACACTAATGATCAGCAGTGACATCATTTTAGACCAAATGCGATGCTTGTTTTGGATACGTTTCAAAGTCAGAACTTCTCTGCGGCTGGTGTATTAGGTCCATCAGCGTTATTGCCTGTCTCCCTGCTCTGCAGACCATCTTTCTTAGCTGCCTCTTTGGCTACTGGCTTCCATCCAGCCTGGCCTCAAAGTCCAGCATTCCTGAGCTTTTTAAGGTGCTTCTGGGACTCTGAACAGCAATTTGTCAGCACCAGCTCAGTTCCTAACAGTGGGCATGAATTGACAGAGGAGAGAAGCTGGGGAGGAGGGTCACAAACCTCCTTTTATTCTGCAGACATTCTTAAAAGGCTTTTAATAAACAATGATTTATTATCTCCTGGCATGGCCTGAAGCACATCTGCGCTGTATAACCTTTGGACAATACCTGTTCTGGGGTGCACATCTTACAGCCGGTGGGGACAAGCTGATTCAAATCTTCCCCAGCTCCTCTGGGCTTAGAGGAACATATTAATTAACCTCATTATCCGGGATCATTTCAGCACCCACAGAGACAG